TTGGGCTTATTCCCAATCTTAACTGAGTTAATCCCATAAATTAGACTCCAAGTTTCCTTTATGTGGTAACCATTGGAAGCTGGGCCAGACCCAGGGTCACTATAACTAAAGTGTTACTTTGGGCCAACTCCTATCAAGACAACCTTAGGACTTGGCTAGAACTAGAATAGTACTTTCTTTGTAGGGAAGATCAAAGAAACATAAAATTGAGGGTATGAAAGGACTTTAGACACAATCTAGTCTAAATATTTAATAGATGAGAAAATTAAGCCTACATACATCCAACCCCTACATTTGACACAGAACGAAACTGCGGTCCAGAGGAGGAGTAATTTGCCCAGGGTTACACAGGTACTAAGCAGATTAGCCAGTATCTGAGTCCATGTCATCTAACTTGAGATAAGTGAGGAGAGAGCGGCAAGTGCTATCTACCCAACCTACACAATCTTTTGTACCCCCCTCCAAAAAAAAAGAAAGAAAGAAAAAAGCAAGCCTTCCTAGTCAGTTTGGTTTTTCTGGTGTGGGAGGAAGCTAACCACATATTTCTGTGAACCTCACGTTCACCTCCCCCTACACACACCCCCGCTTACATGATAACTTGTGCATCTTTTCAGAGCAAGGAAGTATTAACTTCCCATGCCTCTCACTAAGGCCTCTACTGGTGTAGCCAACACTCCACATCCTCAGCTTTGCTGACACCTATAGCATTAGGTTATTGTTTTTACTCACGTTCAAGTGAGGACACTGTTCCTATGGGGTGAGCCAGGAGAACGTCATTTCACCTAAGATACACATAGCAGCCAAAGGAAATGACACTATCTTGGGTTGTGTTGAAGAGAAGCATTGAGGAAAGAGAGGACTGTGATAGAGAGAATGTTGTCTCTAGGAATGGGTGACCCTGGTACTGTAGTACTCCAGTCTTATCTAGATCCAGGATAACTGCACCTCAAAGGTAGGGTCTAGTTTTAAACGTCATACTTTTCAAAGAAAATTGACAAGTTGGAGTGCATCTAGAAGAGGGTGACTAGGCTGGTGATGGGTATGAAGACCAAATGATACAAGGATGAGCTGAAGAACCTGGAGATGTTTTGCCCCAAAAAGACAAAATCATTTTTAAAAAACTTTTATGTTTATTTTTTGATTTTATATCACCTTTATTTCCCAACATATCCATCCCTTCCTCTTCTTTTCTCAGAGTAAACCATGTTTGTAACAACAACAAAAAAAAAACAACTAAAACAAGAGTTAGATGGCTCAGTGGATAAGGCACTAAACTGGGATGTAACTTCAAATCTGGCCTTACACACTTACTAGATGTGTGACCCTGGGGAAATCACTTAACCTCTGTTTGCCTCAATTTTCTCATCAGTAAAATGGGGATAATAATAGCACTTACCTCCCGAAGTTATTGTAAGGTTCAAACAAAATCTTTCTAAAGCACTTAGCACAGTGCCTGGCACAGAAAAATGTTAGGCAAGGCATTATTGTTGTTTTTGTTATTTTTTAAGAAAGAGGGGGAAAAAGCTGTCTGGAAGGATTAGCATATGGACAAGATATGAGACTTTTTGAATTTGACCTCAGAGGGCAGAACTGAGCAATGAAGAGCAGAGGGGTTCATTTTAGCTTGCTGTAAGATAAAACATCTTAACGATTTCTAAAAATTGAATGAGTTGCCTTGGGAGGCAATGGGTTCCCGAACACTGGAGGTCTTCAAGTAGAAGCTGGATGGTCACTTATCATGACAGAACCCATAGGGGGTTCCTGTCCAGCTACACACTGGATGAGATGCCCTGAATGCCCTCTGAGGTCCTTCCCAACTTGGACATCCCATGATTCCTGAATCCTCTTCGAGGATGGATGCTGACCTAGGAGACAGAAGAGAGCAGATTGGTTTGCACAGCCCAGGTGCAGCTGGCAAACCCGCCAGTCTGAAATCTCAGCTGGTGACCTGTGAACTAAGCAAATTTAATACAGAAGTCACTGAGCAAGAAGCAACCAGGAACTCTGTGGGCTGTGTCATCTGCACAGAGTGACTCTCCTGATTACAACCAGCCTTCAATCCAATTAGAAACTGTTAATTAGTTTTGTGTGCTACACAACAGTTGGAGAAAAAGGTCACTTTGTTATGTGCACATTATTTTTTTTCTAGTTCTCTCTAAGCATCAGACCTTCCTCCAAGGAACAGTAATCAGTAGGAAAAGAGCTATACATTTCTGTTCATGGCTCTTTCACTGGTCTGAGAACTTTCGAGTATAGTGAGTCTCATCACCTTTCTGCCCACAGGTTTGGAGGAGGCAAATGATCACCCTTGGATTCAGCCATCATGATCAGTCTGGAGATGGGAAAACTGAAAAGAGACTAGGTGAGAGGACTAGGAGGTCCCTCCATGGTCTAGGATTCAATGATAAGGTGTGTTTGTCTCCCCCTCCAATTGGGGCACAGGGATTGCTGGAGGAAAATGATGACCTCTGTATAGGACCTTTGCTCCATGAGAAGCTATTTATGGTGTGACTCTCTTCTTGGCCATCTGTGTTTCAATAGAACAGAAATTCTTAAACCTTCTGTGCCACTGGCCCCTCTGGTAATCCGGTGAAGGCTACCAACTCCTCAGAAACACGCTTTTAAGTGCATAAAATACATAGGACTACAAGGGATTGAAATATAATCATAAAAATATAAGGAAAAAATTCACAGATTTCCCTAAAAATCTATGCACAGAGCAAGTTAAGAGACCCCTCAATAAAATACAAATTCCTTTAGAACAGAGTTTATTTTTATTTTTATCATTGTGGCTAGGAGAGACAGTGGATAGAATGTTGGACCTGGAGTCAGGAAGGCCCAAGCTCAAATTTAGCCTCAGACTCTTACTAGCTGTATGACTCCAGGCAAGTCTGCCTCAATTTTCTCATCTATAAAATGGGGATAATAATAGCACCTACCATTCCAGGGTTGGTGTGAGGATCAAGAGATAATATTGGTAAAGCACTAAGCACAATGCCTGGCACATAGTAGGTCTTACATAAATGTTAACTGTTGTTATCATCAGTTTGCTGGGCCTCAGCTTTCTTAACACTAAGATGAAGGAAACGATGCAGCCTGTCCATGTCAGGAGGGGAGCTTACCCTCCACTAGGACCACAACCATTTGAACAGAGCCTAGGAGTTGCCTGACTCCTTTCTGCTCATGATGCCACCTGTATAGTGACAATCAGAAAACAACAGTGAACTGTATACTAGTATCCTCTTGTGAGTTATGGTCCTTCATCAGGATAATCTTCATTTCTATAACCTCTGCAAGCAGAGCAAATCTTATGCAAGCCATTTAAACTCCTAGGAAATAGAACACACTGAAGCAATTCAGGAACGTAGATTTAGATCTGAAAGACACAATAGAAGTCACATACTTCAAATACCTAATTTTTTTTAGATAAGAAACTGAGGCTTTCTTTGAGAAGTGACATGACCCATTCAAGGTCACACAAACATAATTGGCTGAGCCAGGATTTGAATCCAGGGTTTTCTAAACTCCATTTTTCCACTGTAGTGGCTGCTATTTTTTTCAAGATGGCAGATGAAAGAACCATAAATAGAACTGAAAGTACATTTTGATACCTTGACCTTCCATCACAGTCAGTCTGCTCCTTTGAAAGTGACCATGGAGCACACAGAGAGACAAATGTAAAAGGCTGAACAGCCAAATGGACCCAGAGCCTCATGATGCTTAATCAATACTACTTATTCCACCACTTTACAGAGAGACAGATGAGTACTGACTTCTGCTATGTCTTGGGAAGGCAGTGAAAGAGTGATTTCCTTTGTCATCCTAAGTTGAAACAAAAACAGCTTAGTGCAGTATGTTGCCCATGTTCTAGGCTATCCTCCCTCAGAGATTGAGTTGTAGGTTGTGGGGGGAAAAAGACAGTCCCACCTAAAATGCCCTTCATGCACATGGTCAGAAATTAAATGAAGTTTCTCCTTTGGGATGGCATTTACCGTGGTGATCTCCATCGCCACACAGATACACAAATCCATTTTCTTATGAGTTGGTACAACATAGTGAACAGAACATTGGACTTGGAAGTCGGGAAGATCTGGACTCAAATTCTGCCTCTGACACTACAGGACCATGGACAGCTCGTTCGATTTCTCTAGTCCGCATATTCCTCATTTGTAAAATGGGGGTGACACCCATGGTCTCTCCCTCTCTGGCATGTTGAAGGGCTCACTGTGGGCAAAGCACTTTGCAAATGGTAAAGCACAATATAAATGTAGATATGTTTTCCTATGCCTTACTTACTGGCACCCAGTGAAAATAGTTCTAGTTTTCTCCCACTATGTATTAGAGGATTTAATTTTTCTTTTGTCCATAAATTAGAAGCCAAAGCTTAGGCTTGTCCAGAATAAACTTGCTGACAGATTCCATCACACTACCAGATTTTTCCACTCTTTTACACTCGAGGGTGCACCTTATCTCCTTCAAGCTAACGCAGAATTGTTCTGTTCTGCTGTTTTTAATGCAGATGATGAATGGACTGACAGTGACTTGAGAATTCACATGTTTCCAACATTCCAGATGTCTGAAAATCTTAAATTGCATTGCTTATGGTGACTACCTCACTTCTTAGGTCTTTTTTTCCCCGAGAAAGACCTGTGATTTCATTTGTGTGTGAAAACTTCATCCAGCAACTGGTCTTGAATTTACAGTCAGAGAGAATTACCTGGGACCCTGAGAAAGGAAGCAACATTCCTTAGGCTTACAGTTAGCGTATATCAGAGGCAGGTGTCAAACCCAGGGCTTTCTGGCCACAGAGTCAGCAACCCTCTTGGTCTATTGTGCCAGGTTGTATCTCGTACATGTAACATTAAAGAGAGGGGTGAATCATGAGAGATTAAGCATAGAGTTTTAGAGGTGATAAGGAGAACAAAGAACTTAGTTCAATCTCTCATTTTACAGATGAGAAAGCCAGACCAGAGAGTGATGTCTTGAATGAGCTCACACAATTAGCTAGCCAAATCAACAAGTATTTATTCAGTTCTTACTAGGCACCAGGCACCAGCTATGGACAGAGCTGGGATCTGAACTGAGGTCTTCTGACCCCTCTGAGGAAGAGTTCAGTGCTTCTTATGAAGATACCAAGATGGCCTTCCAATCCACTGGTTTGTACCCAAGCTTGTACATCCATCAGGCTCTATAATAGAAAAGGCAAGGAATGTGCTTATGCATAAATGGAAAAGAAAACTGTCTACATGGTATAATTTAAGGGTCACCAGGGAGGACTGTGGTCCCAAACAGTCTGATCTAATAGGGAGAACACTGGATTAGTAGTCAGGGATTGAGACCTGGCTCTGCCACCAATGCTCTGTCTACATAACCTCAGGTGAATGAATGACTTTGCCTCTCCACGTCTCAATTTCTTCATCTATAAAATGAGGTGTAATAAAATTTATATTCCCTATGTCACAGAACTGTCATGAAGATCAAATGCAGAAAGTTGTGTAAAGTTCTATGAATCTGAAAAGATATTTTATACACATATATGTACATACATATTATATATTGTGTATGTACATATACATACATATTTATAGGTCATCCATTTATTATATTATAATTGCCCATAATCAATGCTGCAGAGTCCATTATTAGGACTGCTTTTCTTTAGACTAGCCATTAGCCTTCTCTAAATATCTTTATAAAAAATTAACTTTAATTTCTATTTTTTATTTTTTATAGCACCTTCATTTCCCAATAAATCCCACCAGAGTGAACCATCTCTTGTAAGTAGATAGATAAGTAGGCAGGCATGTAGATAGATAGACAGACAGACAGACAGATAGATGAATAAAAATAAGAAAGACAAGATGGGGGTAAGGAAGCAGTATGGAAAATTAATTTACGTTATTCAAGTCTGACGGTACATGTTCTGTACCTGTAGACCTCCTCTTCTGAAGAGAAGGGAAACATACTTTCTTATTTTTGGGGGGGGGACAAGTTTGGTCATTATCATTGCCAAACATTCAATTTTTGCTGCTGTTCTTTCTGTTTATATTATTAGAAACATTGGGTATATGGTTTTCCTGGTTCTGCTTAGTTCTCTTTGTGTAAGTTCATATAAATCTTCTCATTAAGCATCATCTTTGAAAATGCACTTACTCCAGGAGTGCAAGTAACATTCGGACCTTTTTTACTTCCTGCTAGGTGAGTTCATCTGGTCATTTTCCTCCCTTAAAGGAAACTGTGGTTAAAATACCTCTTTCACAATCACACCAAAACTGTTTGGTGATGAAAACAGCACAACTGAGGGACTACTGAATCTGGAGTCAGAAAGACCTGAGTTCAAATCCAGATGCTTACTAGCTGTGTGACCCTGTGCAAATCACTTAACCTCTCTTTGCCTTAGTTTCCTCAATTGTAAAACATGGATAACAACAGCACCTACCTCAAAGGGTTGTTAGGATCAAATGTTGTAAGGACTTCACGAGGCCCAGACTGACCCATATCAGCCCTTTATTTTCAAGTGTCTGAACATGTCTTTCCCCAGGTTCGGAGGAAGATGACACAAAGAGAAACCAGAGAGACTGCTGGCTCACAGGAAATCCTTTGCTTCTCTGACTCTGACTTTCAGTTTGAATCTGTTTAGCAGAGACCTGGAGAATCTCTGAGCTCAAAAGGAACTTCAGAGGTCAGCCAGACCAACCAGAACCTGAGCAACCATCCCCAGCAGGTGTCCACTCAGTCTTTATCTGAAGACCTTCCTTTGGGCAGAGGCCCCACAGGTAAAGGTAGGATACCCAATGTGGACAGAGGAAAGAGAGGAAAGAAAGAAAGAAAGAAAGAAAGAAAGAAAGAAAGAAAGAAAGAAAGAAAGAAAGAAAGAAAGAAAGAAAGAAAGAAAGAAAGAAAGAAAGGAAGGAAGGAAGGAAGGAAGGAAGGAAGGAAGGAAGGAAGGAAGGAAGGAAGGAAGGAAGGAAGGAAAGAAAGAAAGAAAGAAAAAAGGAAGGAAAGAAGGAAGGAAAGAAGGAAGGAAGGAAAGAAGGAAGGACGGAAGGAAAGAAGGAAGGAAAGAAAAGCTGTGTTGCTCAACTGGCCAATTCCAGTTCGGTCCCCAGTGGAACTGCTCACCTCCCTGATACCATGGTCCTCTTTGAGAATGAAGGACAAACAACAACAACAATAGCAACAGTAGCAATCTGAACACCTCCAGAATAGAGAAGCCACAGGCTCTTGCAATAGCCCACTCCACTTTTGGAAAGCTTTGATTGTTAGGGAGGGTTATGTTTTTGTTTTTCCTTAGGAGAGTCACAGTGACGTGAAAAAAACTTTCTGTACTAAGAGTCAAGGGAAGCCCAGGTTTGAATCTTGCCTTTTATACTTACTAGCTAGGTAATCTCTATAGCCCTCTGAACCTTGATAGCTTCATCTGTAAAATGGGTATAATAATGCTTATAGTACCTACCACACAGGTTTCTTGTGAGGATCAAATAAAATTATGTCAAGTGCTTTATAAACCTCAGAGCATTTTATGAACGCCAATTGTTAATGTCAAAGTGAGTCAAAATCTGCCTCTCCACAACTTCCACTCCCTAGTTCTGCATTCTGGGGCCAAGCAAATCAACAAGTCAAGTCAATACGCATTTACTAAGCATTTACTCTATATCAGGTATTGTGCTAAGGGATAGAGACACAAAAAGGGCAAAAAAGGCCCTTCTCTCAAGGAGCTCACATCCTGGGGGTGGGGTAGAGAGAGACAGCCAGCATACAAGCAACTATATACAAAGAAGACACATACATGGTAAATAAGAGTAGAAAGATGGCAATAGCCTGGGGTGTGTTGGGGAAAGGGGAATGACCAGGAAAGTTGGATTTGAGCAGAGGTTGAAAGGAAGCCAGGTAAATTGAGAAACAGAGGTGAGGGGGAAGAGGCATGGGGCATGGTCAATGCAAAGGTCTGGAGTCAGGAGATGAAATGTCATGTGTGAGAAACAGCATGAAGGCCAAGGCTACTGGATTTTGTAGATTCTAATCATTCTTCCACATGATAGCCCTTCAAATTCCTTGAAGAAAACTATCAACCACCATCATCCTCCAGCCTCATTTCTCAATCCCCCAAGGAAGTCTTCTCTTCCCCAGTCTAGACATCCATCCCCAATTCCTTCAGCTGATCCTTGGCTGGCATGATCTCCAGTTCCCAAATTGTCCTATAGATTGCTCTCCTCTAGATAAGTTACGACAGTTTGTTAATGTCCTTCCTAACTGAAGTCAATATGCCAGATATAGTCAGATCAGGGCAGAGTCCAATGGGAATTATACCCTACTGTCTTTTTTAGACTAGGTCTCTCAATGTGGCCTAGGATCATGTTAACTTTTCCCACTACTCTACCATGCTTTAGAGATTCATCTTATTAAATTGTTATTTAACTTATTGGCTCTCCCTTCCCAGCTTTGAGTCGCCTGTAGATTTCATCGGTATGCTATCTATGCCTTTATCGGAGTCATTAATAAAAATGTTCAATAGCCCAGGGTGAAGGACAGGGTTCCCATCCTATGCATTGCACTTTTGGATTACTTTAATCATTAGGAGAAGGAGGAGGAGAAAAAGAAGGAGAAAAAGGAGGAGAAGGAGGAGGAGGAGGAAACAATTGGTATTTTAACGGTACTTTAAGGATCATGATCTGGCCCTCACAATCCCAAGAAGTAGATCAGTAAAATAAGGATGATACTGATAAAGAAACCCGGGCTTAGAGAGGTTGAGTGATTTGCCAAGGGTCACATAGCTGATGTTGCTGAGTCAGGATCCAAGTTCTTTTGACTGCAGATCCAGCATTTATCCACTGTACCACCCTGCTTATCAGGACAGTTGGGCAGCTGGGTTGCTCAGTGGGTAGAGCCCTAGACCTGGAGTCAGGAAGACCTGAGTTCAAATCTGGCCTCTGATACTTACTAGCTGTGTGACCCTGGGCAAATCACTTAACCCTGTTTGCCTCAGTTTCCTCATCTGCAAAATGAGCTGGAGACAAAAATAGCAAACCACTCCAGCATCTTTGCCAAGAAAACCCCAATTAGGGTCATGAAGAGTTGGACACCATTGAAACAATTAAACAACATCGATAATCTCAGGACAGGTGCTTTTCAGCAACGAGACAATTGTACCTGAGGCCAGACATCTTACATCCATTCATATAGACACCTACATTTATAGAAGTTGATCCCATAGGAAATGATCCCACAACATTATGGTGGCAAAATTCAGTTTAGAGAGTGCTCTAAACTGAATTTTGCCACCATAATATTGTTTCTACAATCCTCAAATTGAAAGCCGACTTGATTTGAGTCTACGGGCAAAGTTGTGTAAGTTTGTCTAACTGTGAGCTTGCCTGGGGATAACTAAGATCCAAAATATTCTCTGATTTTTTCTCAAGTCCTCTAACAATGGTACTGAAAGAGGATCCACAGGAAGAGCCCAGGCTCTGAAGCCCAGCAGGGTTCAAATCCACTTTGCCTACTTGTATGACCTTTGGCAAGTTACAACCTTCCCAGATTTCAGTTTCCTCACCCATAAAATGAAGGCATTGGTTTCTGAGGCGTCTTCTGGTGCTAAGTCTATGATGCTGTGATTCTATTGGCAGTCCTAGAAGAGACTAGACAGGATTTGGCTCCTGCATCTATGCTAGGCAGACAACTAGATATGCCCAGGGAGTGGGCACATCCCATGCCACTAAAGGAGAAAGTGGGCAAGCTGGATGACATTACTGATTATAAAAGCCAATAGAAAATTGACTTGAAAAGTTTGGGGATAACACCCTTTACGTTCAGATTAAACATGTCAATGATCTGGTCCCAAGGTGGAGGAAACTTTACATTGATGGTTGAAGAACATGGTGGAAAGAGCTGGGGACCTAGCATCAGAAAATAGAGGTGTGAGTTTTGATTCTACAAGTTGTATGACCCTGCACAGGTGATTTCTACACTAAATCTCAGTTAGCTCCTCAGTAAAACAAGGGGTTTGACCTGGATCATTTCTAAATTTCTTTAGGTGCTTAAGTTTGTTGACTTATTGATAGTTTGATTATGGCCCTAAATCTATGATCCTATGTGTTTCCCAAGGACTGGCTCTTAAAAAACTTCAATGTAGTTTGGTGTGGTGTGTGTGTGTGTGTGTGTGTGTGTGTGTGTGTGTGTGTGTGTGTGTGTAGAACATTTGGGGGGAAAGGAGGAATGGAAAAGGGTGACAATCTTGGAATTTTGGTACTCTTGGATGAGTCACGGAATATTTCAGCCAGAAGTGATCTTAGCATTCACAAATGAGAAAAAAGTTTTGTGATTTGTCCAAGAAGTAGGAAACTCAGGAGTCTCAGAAACCTTTCAGTCCAACATCAGACCCCAACTCCACCCCATTTTATGGAACAGGAAAATGAGGCTGATAGAGGGGGGAAAAGACTGTCAAAGATCACACATCTAATTAGTGACACAGCAAGACCTAGAACCCAGGTCTCCTGACATGGAGTCCAAGGCTTTCCTGATCAGTTATCCTTACTCTTAAGTAAAAGGAAAGAAATTCATTTTGCTGCATACACTAAAAGGCTGTCTGTGTATGCTAAAGTTTAGAAGGTGAAAGAGAGCAGGCAAATACATGTTTCCCTACCACAAGAGTCAATTTCATAACAGCAAATAGAAATCCCAAATCTCAAAAGCTGTTTCAAAAAAAGAACACTGACTAATTTCAAAAGCTTTGTTTGATTCATTTGCCATGATACCATTTTCACATGAGCCTGTTTGCCCAATATTGCTGAATCCTCTCTCTGGAGAAGTTTCCAACAGAAGAGTTCTATTGGCTGAAATCCAATGGTGGGGGGTTGGGGGGGAAGCGAGCCTGGCGTGATGGGGCAAGGAACTCCCCGCCTTGTTTGTAGAGTGGCCAGATGGACTGAGCCTCAGTCTTGCCAGTCAATAATAGAGAATCCCTGCTCTTTCCTGAGCTTTGCTGCTCTGATCTTCCTCTCTCAATAACACCATCTCAGAGACCCACACCTACATACAGCAGAGGATTACAGACCTGACTACAAAAAAGGCAAAAACAGAAATCTTGCTTCTTAGTTCCCCCTGTGCAAATAAGAGCTGTTGGCTGAGAATTTGAAAATAGAGTTTGCGTTGGCGTGGACACAGCAGTGACCATAACCAAAAGATTCAGCCATCACTTTTCTAGCAAGGCCTGAAGATACAAGGTGTGCATGCGTGGGGGTGGGAGGGGGCTGGGGGGAAGGGCCCCGTTGTCTCAGAGCAAGGAGATGTTTCAGTGGCCTGATGATTTCCTAGAAACAAGGATCATTCACTCCATCACATCCTGTTCCTTCAATGGGAAGGAGAGATTCAATCACAAAGGTTGAATCAGAGATGTGAGGTAAGTTGATTAATGAAAAATATAAGGACCATCTCAGCTTAGAAACAGGGCAATTGAACTACATGTAAGTGTGATGATTCCAGTGACAATGAAAGCTGGCTTTTGTATAATGTACTCCATACACGTTACCTCACTGGATCCTCATTAAAAAACAGGGTTAAATATATTCTACAGATATTTCTTCAATGTTTTGATGAGCAAATGAGATGTTTGTAAAGTGCTTAGCATAGTGCCTGACATCATAGGCGTATAATAAATGCTTATTCCCTTCTCTCCATTTTTCATATAAGGAGACTAAGACTCAGAAAAGCAGCATCACATAATGGCAAGAGGGTTGGAGTTGGAGTTAAATGATGAGGAGAGGGGCAAATCATTTAACCAACTGATCACTCCATAAGCATTTATTAAGCACCTGTAACAAGCACTAGGAATACAAAGACATAAATGAAATAATCCCCACCCTGGAGGAGCTTACATTCTATAGACCCTCGAAGAGTCTCAGTTTTCCTAATCTGTAAAATGGGCATCATAACACTTACACTAACTCATAGGATTATTGTGAGGAAAACTGTTTCATAAGCATTAAGACCCTGAATACAAAGGACTTACTATTATAATTATTATTACGGTTTGGCATCATAGTTCCAGAGCAGAGAGGCAGAGGCAAGATTCAAACACAGGTCACTCCTGACTGCAAGTACAGTACTCTTCCCGCCATAAAATGCTAATAAGGTTAATTCACATTTCTATAATGTGATTAAGGTTTGAAAACATTTCTTTCTCAATAACCTTTTGAAGAAGATAGTGCAAAGATGTAATTGAGACTTATCAAAAGAAGAAGATAGCTATTATATTTCTCTTAAGTCTTCTCTCCTCCAGGATAAACAAATAAGAGCTATTCCTCTCAACATCCTGAGTTCCCTGTGTGGGCTATACTTTAGTTTGTCAATGTCTTTCCTAAAACTCAGCACTCAGAGCTGAAGCTGGGACTCCAGTTGAGGTAAGACCAAGATGGAGTGGAGGGTGACCATCACATCCTTCCTTCTGGATACATTTCTTAACAAAGACTTGGAGAGAAATCACTTTTCTTCAGTTGCCATGTGATACAATATGCCATCTAATCAGCATGTGGAACCAAGGTTTCAGATTGAACCCTGCCACCAACAAAACTAGACTGGGAGAAGGCTGGCTAGGGACAGAGTTGCCTGGGGTGCACTGGGAGTAAGGAGGAATGAGGAAGATAATTCCTTTCTGCAAATGTACATCTTTTAATGCAAAAAAAATTAATAAAAATAAACCAATACCTTCTGCTTTCCATACAGCCCTAGCTTGTAATTGTTTATTTTGTATTAAGTAAGACAGGGCTCATGAGTTCTAGTGAACACTCAGAGTGTCTGGAAAATGATAACACACAGGGGACATGATTTTCCAACCTTATGTTGAGCACACACACACACACTTTGCCTTGGTTTTGCCCATAGGTAAAGAGGCTTGCTGATCCAGAAAAAAGAAATTTAAAAAAGAAAAAAAAACTTTCACAAATAAGCCCCTGTAGACACACAGAGAAATCTCAGGGCTGTGAGGTAACAGAGACTTGGTATTTTTCTCCAAGTAGCTTTTTGTTTTTAATTTTGAACAATGGAAGTGGGTTCTGGAAGTCCCTAGGTTTACACAGGTAGGAAGTAGAATAATTCCACCTGAATTTGCTTGTGACAGGCACCAACTGTATCAACCTTACCTAAAGCAAAGTGATTTAGAAACTGATTAATTGACCCATGTAGACAGCTAAATTCAGGTTCAAAAGCCCACTTTGGAATGTGAAAGATCCGGCTTAGTGACCTATAGAGTTAATTAATAAGAAAGACATAGCCACATATTCTGGATGAAGTCATCTAACTAAAGAAAAGAAAAGAAAGGAAATGAAAAACAAGTTTTTCACCAATAGAAATTACATGAGGTTTATTTAGCCTAAATTACCCACTCATGAAATCTAAAGGAATTAAGTCATCTATTCCAACCTCTCCCTGGCAAATAGATCTTCATTCTCTGCTTGAAGAACTTCCACTCCCCCCCCCCAAAAAAATGAGGAACCCACTGACTCTAGAGCTAACCTTTTCTACTTTGGGTCAGTTCTGACAGTGTGGAAGTTATTCCTTACATCAAACCAAAATATGTCATTTCCCTCTCTCCTTCCTAGTTCGTACCTTCTGGGGCTAAGCAGAACATGCCTAATCTCTCTTCCACATGTGAGCCCTTCAGATATGTGAAGACAGGTATTATGTCTCACTTCCTCCTTCCTCTACTCTGAGCCGGGATCTCCCCCCTCCAATATTCCAACACTACACAAAACAAATGATTTCTCTGAAGATGCTCTAATGAGCTGGGTCTACATTGACAACCAAAATGGAATATTTCAGGTTGAAAATTCTCCTTTGGAACCTCAGACATCTGGCTATGCTATTTATGGTTCTCAATAATCAGAAAGACATTGTCAAAGATTCTGGATTATTTAGTTAAAAGGGGGAAAAAAACTATTTTCTTCTTCAATAGGAGTTTTTTGATATTTCTATGTCTAGAATTTCCTGGATGATTAATTCTCTACTTTGCCTGTATAGACACAGTTTATTATAGTTATTACAATGAGATTGTTGCTATGTGTGTTTCGATGAACTAAGTCCCAAAGCAAATACATTCTAGAGAGTGGGGCATACTGGCAATACCTGCCCCTATTTCAACCAATGTCAGTAGAACGTCTTCGCAAAAGTCTAGATTGAAATGAATCAAGAGTCATTTCCTCTTAACCATGCACAGAGTCTCACATTGCCTGTGATTGATAAACTTTTCTTCCCTTCTCAGACCAGCCTGAAGTTGCTGTTCTCCAAAATATAAGGTATTTTCCCACAGCCAATGATGAGGATTCCATGGTTGTTAAAATTAACTCTGACATGTTTGTCCACTATTATCTTGCCCAGATGATGCAAAATGCAGTGACCCTGCCCCAAATCAAGTGTCTGTCTGTCTGTCTTACACTTACATTTGAATTTGTTCTGGGTCTCAGCCTGTCTCCCAGCAGGGATAGGGAGTCTGGAGTATGCCCACCCTCTCCCATGCTCAGTGCAGTAGGAGGCTACAGTTGAGTTGTTAATATCATCATTTCTGGGAGCACGAAACTGGAACAGTGTAGCAATGGAAAAGGGAAACAAGATGAGACACTAATTGGGAAAAAAAATCACAGAACAGTCCTCAGTACCATCAGAAGGCACAAAAGGAGACTGTGGAGGGGTCAGAAGGCAGGACTCTTTGCAGATGTAGCAAAACCTCCAAAACTAGAAATATTCAGCATCACAGGGGAGGGAGAGGAAATAGGAAGGAAAAAGACAACCCTATAACCAGTATAGGTCAAGGAATAGTGTTCCTAATCCCATCTTGTGCCTTGAAAGAAAAATCAAGGGACAAGGGACAGAGTATATCCCTCATCAAGAATTCTCATTTGGTAATAATTCAGAGATTTGGCACTGCTGTGATAAATAAACAGATAAACATATTTCATTCTATACTGCACACCAGGGTCTCACCAGCATGAGTCAAGCCCCTGAAAAAAAAATCCTTCCCCTCTCTCCCCTCCTACTTCACCAATGTCATTGAACTTGCCCTAGGACTCATAGGTTCCCCAAACATATGGCATTCAATGGAATTCAAAGTTAGCCCAGTAAGACCCATCATTTAGTTCAATCTTCTAGTATTCACAACAGAGTATGCACCCCCAGACCCACCCAGGTCCCCCACAGTGAAGTGGGAGGGGGAAGGTCATGTAGCTATTCCCTCCCCAAAAAAATTCTTCTTGATTTCACCTCATCCCCACAACCTCTCTTCTGCCTTTCCTAGCTTGAACTGCACAGGAAAATCAGAATTTATGGTACATATGTTTGTGTTCCACTTAATAAAAAAACTCTATATTTTAAGATAAACTTTGTTAGTAATTCACGAGGTAAGTGACTATTTATGCTAATAAGGCAGAAATGTATTCTCAAGCATAATGCATTACATAAATTTGAATGCAAAATGTTCCATTATGAAGTAAATACAGGTAATGCAAATAATAAATTACCTCTAATAAAAATTATAAAGGATGTGTCTTCAAAGGGAAAGAGGCTTCAACTAGCAACCGGGAACAGCTTAAAGAGAAAAGAATTAATAAATGGTGAATTACTCTGATGATTACTTAGCCCATAATTCACCTATTCATAACGACTCGGAGTAATCAGACCGTTGTTTCACATCCTCAAATATGAAGCAAGACTGTTTCCCCAGCAATTCCACCCTTATCAGATTATCGCATCTGATTCTATTAATTTTCTTCCATGAATCTGCTAACAGTGATTTGTGATTTACTTACCCTGCTAACTGATCTGAAGACTGTTAAAAGGATTTATCTAACACTGTACCTAAGAGCAGCTTAGCCAGAGCGATCAGTTACTTTGAACAATTCTTTTGCAAATCAATTCCATTGGTTTCATAGTTAAATTTAGGGAGCAGTGTTCAGTTCACTGCCATAAAACCAGAGGCTGGATAAACAAAGGTTGTAGGGGGTTTACTCAGTTTTGATAATTCAGTGCTCACTATCCTTTGCATTTATCTATCTGTCTATCTATCTGTCTATCTATCTATCTATCTATCAATCTATCTATCTGTCTACCTGTCTATCTATCTATCTATCTATCTATCTATCTATCTATCTGTCTCCCAATTCTCATAAGTTAGGTCCAAGTTCATATACCTTGTCATCCTGAATCTTGTGCAAATCTTTGTAACTTTTATTACAAATAGTTTTTTGCATTGAACTTTAGTGTATGTACTTATTTGAAGCCACTACTGTGCATTCAGATACCGAGGTTTCACAGCCTTACACATACTTTTACATATGCTCCAGGAAAGCAAGCCAACCCCAATCTCCTGCAGTAAATATTCACTGATTTCACAAAGTTAAACCATATCGGTATGAATTGGTCATGGAGGTCAAGTCCATGGTATTCTCAATTAAGGAATATTATTCATCAGAGATCCCTGTAGTACAGATAGCGAGAGAATATTAAAAGGGCAGAGGTGGGGGTTGCAGATCATATTATACTCAGATGAGATTGGCATGGATAGACGGGGAAAGAAGTATTAGGCAAAGGAAGCCTAAGGAAATTTGGCCTGTTATCCGCCTGGAAAATCTGAAGGCTGAATAGTGCTAATTAAAATGACAGGATTCAATTGTCACAAAAGAAATCCTGCTATTAAGGGTCTGTAAATGTTTAGATATCCCTCATGAAAAAACTAAATTATGAACTCAGAAACTGCAAAAGATGAGAATGCCCATCATAGGAATGGGCTACTCCTGGGACATCTACAAACTATCTATGAGGTTGCCTTTGTCTTAAGGAATTCGGACTGGTAGAAGAGGCTGTGCAAATAAGAGGGGCATACATGATCATTTAACAGTGGTGCCCAACAGTAAGCCAAGTCATGAAATGGTACAGGTACTGCTACTAACACTCCATGTCAATGCATACAGAGTATTTGCGTTTAATTTACACCAACTGCTGACGGCGGCATTCATGAGGGTCCATAGAATGTTGATTCTTCTTTGTCTTCAACCGAGTTTACTCAAGAAACTCAGGAGTTTGTATGTGTAGCTACGTTATATAATGCCTCTCCCAGCCATTTAATGGGATGAGGATAATTTCTTCAAACTCTTATCATAAGAAAAAAAAAATCCTATAGTGAACAATGGTAAACAGTATCAACATTACCAGTAAAGAGACTCAGATCATTTCAGATAAAGAGATAAATGAGCACATTTGGGCCAAAAAAATAAAGCAGCTAAAAATTGTAGCACTATCATGTGAAGATGCTAAAGGACATACCATATTTATCTTATTTAGGGAAAGCTTAAATGGAAGAAATAAATCTTACCTTTGGGTCACATGATACAAGCCTTTAAGTTTACTAGGTATAAAAATCTTTAACAACATGAAAGTAAGGGGGGGAGGCTATTTGATTGCATAGATATGCATCTAATGACAAATTAATAAACACAGTTCATTCCTCCTCACAAAGTCCGAATGGATAGTGACCCTGCTAAATGGAGGGAAGTCGCAACAGGGGAAAGTTTAGGATATTCTGAAGATGGAGAATTTCAGGTGGATATTTTTTATAGATCCCAAATCACTTTGGGGGAGTCTCAGACTGGTCCCCACATGGCTCTGGCTACTACATGTGAAAATGCCAAAAGGCCCAGCACAGTCCTGCAGAGTGACACCCAAGGCCCTGTTATAAATAGCAAAGTATGTTGTGGGGTGGGTGAGACCGTTCTGAAGTGCAATGTTCAAAGAAGCTGGCTTAATATATGACTAAGTGTCAGAAGTCAGGTTTCTGAGAATTACTTTTCAGATAAACAACTTTATAGCACTGCACTTAATCTTACTTACTCAAGACATCTCATTTATCACTGAATTACAAGTAACTTTAATTCTATTGATATTGCCATAAAGTCCGCTGGAAATCAGGGTTGGCAGTTTTAAAGGTTTGGGTCCCAAATACATCGCAGCCCAAGGATCACTCGTAGGAATCAGAAGGGGTCCTTCGGCCAGTCCCCACCTTTAACAACAAAGCATTGAGGGGACTGGAGAAATGGATGACAGGCAGGGAGGCACTCCTAGGCTCAGGGAAAGCCGTCGTAGAGCCACCCTCCCGATTCTTTCTCGCAACAACTTCCTGAGACCCCTCACCTATCCCCACCAATGTTCCCGACCCACACACCAGCTTTTTCCTTGAATCAACAAAACTGGACCCGCATCAATTTAAACTGACCTTTGCCGAAAGGTGGCGCTGTCGAGGTTAAAACCAAGTGTATCCAACAATGGTTTTCACTCCTCGCTCCTTTTTCTCGATTTTCAGATTTTTGTTCAAACCCCCTTCACCACTCGCCAAAGAAAAAAAAAAAAGTAAAATAAATATGAACAGCGCTCGATACACTTAATTAATTTAGCAAGCCAAAGCTCCAAGCAGGCCCCGAGTCTTGCAAAGGCAGTGTCCCCTTTTATACAGGATTCTTCCCCATACCCCCAAATCTCTGCCTTCCTCTGGCCTATCGCTTTAAAATCTTAGAAACAGAGTTCCTGCATAAAGTCAAAAAAGAATCGATCCAATAAATTGAATTAGTTATTAGCATGTACAGCAAAGGGGGAGGGGGCATCCTCTCCGGCACTACCACCCCCAATTCCCGGGCAAATCAAAGAACCCCGTTTACAATTTAACCCTTGGCGGGAAGCACATGTGGGCGGGAGCCCCTTCTCCCCTCCGTGTCACGATCAAGTATGAAATAATTAACTTAAATGAGAAAGAGCAAAGGGCGTAACACCCTAATAAACGGAGGTCGGATTATACTTACACCAGGGTGTGGGGGTGTATGTGTGTGTATATGTGTGTGAGACGGAAAGACAGACAAGACACATAGACACAGAGATAGAGAAGAAAAAAAAAGAGATGGAGAGGAAGGAAAAGGAGAAGAGAAAAAGAGAGTGAAGAAAGGAAAAAGAAAAAAGGTGGTGGGTGGGTGAGTAAATAAAACGCCAAACTAAAGGCAAAGTCTATCAGGGAGCTCATTCTGAGTTCAGCTACTGCAACTCTAGAGCTGTTCCTCAGTTAACTCTTGAGAACTAACTCTCTCTCTCTGTCTCTGTCTGTCTCTGTCTCTGTCTCTGTCTCTGTCTCTCTCTCTCTCTCTCTCACACACACACACACACACACACACTCACACACTCCCAAAGGGGCCTCAGCAGCCCCACTAGTGCATCCAGCCCTCTGGGCCCGGGATTCCTCCGAAATGTTTTAAAAAGAGAAAAATAAAATGTAACGGAAGGGATTGACGCTCCGGGACTCCTTGATCCTCCCCAAGGTGCTGCAAAGACTGGAGGCAGATTCTGGTCCCAGTACGAAATTCCACCTCCTGGTTCTCTGAATATACTCCTATCGAACCTATCGAACCTATCGATTCCTATTCCGTACCCAGGCAAATGCCTGGGGTCCCCAAGCCTAAGCCAGGTGGGCAGGCAAACAGGCAGGGGATAGGCACGTAGAGAACGAGAGGCAGAGGCAGGCAAGGACGAAACACTAAGAAACTGGCAGGAGAGCTGCGCGGTAGGGAGACTGGGTAGCAGAGTGGTGAGCAAACTGCCCTGATCTCCTGCACCGAGACGGACCTGAGACTGCATAGACGACTCCAAAGTCCGAACAGATGAGTGTTTGGGCTCCCGGTGCAGAGGCTCAGCAAGAGGGACGATGAGTACAGAAAGAGGATGCCCCGGGGCACCTGGCCTGCTCAGAGAGCACCGAGGCAGAGTGGACTGCAGACCTGAGGCTCCCACAAAGCGAGAGGAACACGTCCTAGAAAGAAATGGACGGTGAGAGCCAGGGGAGTCCAGCATCACCGAATCGTGGAGATCTTTGGGATTCTAAAGCAAAGGGAAAGTAGTGTGTTTTGGACTCCCCCAGGTCCTACTCCTCTTTTCATCAATCTTCTCCCCTTAATTAATACTACCCCCCTCCCATTCACCGGAAGGATATGTCCAGGGAAGGGTTAAAAATCCTAGTCCCAGCTGACAGTCAGCTGATTGGTCTCTGATTGACAGCTCCGAAAAGTTTCCTTGTTTCTATACTATTATGCTAATCGGGGCTGGTTTTGAGGTCCCTCATTGGTCCGGAGTCGGAGTCAATTTCCCAGCTACGTCAGAACTGCTATAAAACTCAGCAATTGCTTTAAACTCTTCTTGCTGGATGAGCCTTTAAAATATTTTTCATCTTCTAGCCGTAGCCTGAGCTGACTTTTTTTCCCCCTTTCGGAATTTGGGTTGACTCCCCCTCAGCCAGCCCCCTTCCCCTCCCCCCTCCCCCAGTAGTTCGTTTTCCTCCTGGCCACCCCCGCCGCACCTCTCCCTTGCACTTTGCACTGGGGGGAAGGGGGGAAGAAAAAAAAAAGGAGAGAGAGGAGAGAGAGAAAGAGAGAGCAAGAGAGAGGCGTGAAGTGCTGAGCTCCCCTCTTCCATCCAGCCCCAGAAGCAGCAGCACCGGCGGCAGCGGCGGCGGCGGCGGCGGCGGCAGCAGCGGCAGCAGCGGCGGCGGCGGCGGCAGCAGCGGCGGCGGCGGCAACAGCGGCAGCAGCAGCAGCAGCAGGAACAGCGAACAGCGCAGCACGCCCGCCGCCCCGCAGCCCAGCCCCCGCGGCCAGCTGCAAACCCCGAGAGCCAGTCCTCCCTATGCAAAAAGGAGCGAAGAGGTGTGGGAAGGGGGCGGCCCAAAGAGAGCAGCCGCGGCGCTCCGGGACGCATCCCCTGGTGCCATAGGAAAGCCGAGTCCCGGAGAAGAGAACGGACAGAGACTGAGACCGAAGCAGAGGGAGAGGGAGACTCGCACACACCCACCCACCTACCCAGCCCAGAGGCGCACACACGCACAGAGACACAGACCCACAGACCCACACACACGCGCGCGCACATACACAGAGGCGCGCGGGGGGGAGGGGGGACGCGCTCGGGCGTGAGCGGGGGCCCCGACCGGCCGGAGGGGGTGGGGAGCGGGGGCTTGCTGCGGGTGGGCCTGTTGGGCGAGGGGAACGAGAGGCCGAAGCAGATCCTTCCCGGCAAGCTGGCTCACCCGCTGGCGACTCAGCACAGTTCGCTGGCTCCCCTTCTTCAGCCCATCTGGAGGAGCAGCGGCGGCGGCGGCGGCGGCGGCAGGAGGATGGCATCAGAGCTGGCAATGAGCAGCTCCGACCTGCCCACCAGTCCCCTGGCCATGGAATATGTTAATGACTTCGATCTGATGAAGTTTGAAGTGAAAAAGGAGCCGGTGGAGACGGACCGCATCATCAGCCAGTGCGGCCGCCTCATCGCCGGGGGCTCGCTGTCCTCCACGCCGATGAGCACGCCCTGCAGCTCCGTGCCCCCGTCGCCCAGCTTCTCGGCGCCCAGCCCGGGCTCGGGGAGCGACCAGAAGACTCACCTGGAAGACTACTACTGGATGACCGGCTACCCGCAGCAGCTCAACCCGGAGGCGCTGGGCTTCAGCCCCGAGGACGCGGTCGAAGCGCTCATCAGCAGCAGCCACCAGCTCCAGGGCGGCTTCGATGGCTACGCCCGGGGCCAGCCGCTGCCCGGCTCCGGGGGCTCCCTGGGCGCCGAGGAGGTGGGGTCGTCCGCCGCCGCCGTGGTGTCGGCCGTGATCGCGGCGGCCGCGGCGCAGAGCGGAGCGCCCCACTACCACCACCATCACCACCACCCCGGGGGCCACCACCACCCGCCGGGCGCCGTGCCCCCCACAGCCTCCGCCGCCTCCGCTGCAGCCGCCGCCGCCGCCGCCGCAGCCGCCGCGGCCGCCGCGGCCGCCTCGGGCCCCGGCTCGTCCAGCTCCAGCTCCAGCTCGTCCAGCTCCAGCTCGTCCGGAGGCGGCGGCAGCGGCGGGGGCGGCGGCGGCGGCGGCTCGGCTGCGGCGGCCGGCGCCTTGCACCCTCACTCGCACCCGCACCCGCACCCGCACAGCAGCCTGCACTTCGACGACCGCTTTTCCGACGAGCAGCTGGTCACCATGTCAGTGCGGGAGCTCAACCGGCAGCTCCGGGGGGTCAGCAAGGAGGAGGTGATTCGACTGAAACAGAAGAGGAGGACCCTTAAAAACAGAGGCTATGCCCAGTCGTGCCGCTTCAAGAGGGTCCAGCAGAGGCATGTCCTGGAGTCGGAGAAGAATCAACTCCTGCAGCAAGTTGAGCACCTCAAACAGGAGATCTCCAGGCTGGTCCGGGAGCGGGACGCCTACAAAGAGAAATACGAGAAGTTGGTCAGCAGTGGCTTCCGAGAAAACGGCTCGAGCAGCGACAACCCGTCGTCTCCAGAGTTTTTCATGTGAGTTTTACACTCAAATTCAAGCTTGCCACCCTAATCAGTTCTCCATGTGAATGAGGTCTGGGCTTGGGGCTTGCTAGACCAAGAACCGAGCTTGCCACCACCCAATTGTTTTTTTTTTTCCTTTCTTTCTTTTTCTCTTTTTCTTTCTTTCTTTTTTTTTTTAAAGCAACACTCACAAACCCAACATACAAAGTCCTTCCCTGAGTTTTGTGGTCGCAGTTGTTTGTTTTTGGTGGGGGAGGGAATGGGGCTGGCTCTTTCGATTGCCAACCTTAAGTTCTCCATGACTTGCTTGCTATTTTTTTTAACCTCCCCCCCAACACTTGCTCAATGTTCAAACATCCCAACTGAGTTCTTCATGTGAAGCATGGCTCACCTTTGAAACCTGCCGTCATTCACTTTTTTTTTAATTTTTCAGTTCCTGAGCTAGTGTTTCTGTTTTTTGTTTTGTTTTGTTTTGTTTTTTTGTTTCGTACTTTTAGAAAACATTTATTTGGGGGAATTTGCTGTGTTGCCTCCACTCATCTTCCACCCACCACCAACCCACCTCCCACCCCACCGAAAAAAAAAAGAAAAGAAAAAAAAATCAAAGTTTTCTTTCTTTTTTTCCCTCCCCTCCCATCCTAAGTTCTTCATGTGAGATTGAGTTTGCGGAAATGTGAAGTTGTAGACTTGCAGCTTGCTGAATCCCATCGGTTTTTTAGCGTTGTTATGCTAAACTAGAGAAACCAATCCCGATCAACCTGCCAAAAATTCAAGCCTGCATCAATCAGCCTGCCTTCCTTCCGGGTGTGTACATGTGAGTTTGGGCCTTAGCCTGCCAAACTGGAGACTTTTAGTTTGCCATTAGAAACTCATTCTCATCTCATGCATTATGCTTGCAACTTTGTCTTAGCAACAATGAACTTTTAACTGTTTCAAAAGACTTTATGAAAAAAGAGACGTTATATTAATAAAAAACCTGCATGCTGGACATGTATGGTATAATTATTTTTCTTTTTTTTCTTTTTTTTTTTTTTGGCTTGGACATGGACTTGGAGACTATTATGGCATGGCATCCATACTTCTGTTTATTGCCTCATCACTTTTTTGAATTGAAAAAGCAAAAAAATGCAACCCTAGACCCTCCTTCCCATGAAAGTTTGCATCTGCTCTAAAACTGCTTTGAGTTCCTCAAACTTCAGACTTCCACTTAAATGCACTGAAGGCATTCCCTGTCAAAGATGCCTGAATGGATTCATAATCTAATGTGGCAAAAATTAAAGAACTTTTCATGGTGTTTAAATAAGAGCAACAACCCAGTTTGGGAACTAAAATTGTTCTGTTGCCTAAAAGCAGTCTAAAATTTATTTTTAAAAAAAATAAAATCTGCCCCTTTTTTTCCCCTTTCGGTCATTGTCAAATATGGAATGCTATGAGTTCCTGGTATATAATTTAATTCTAGTTTTTATAATCTGTTAGCCCAGTTAAAATGTATGCTACAGATAAAGGAATGTTATAGATAAATTTGAAAGAGTTAGGTCTGTTTTAGCTGTAGATTTTTTAAAAGATTGATGCACTAAATTGTTTACTGTTGTGATGTAAAGGGGGGGGGGTTAGAAGTTTGCAAGGGGACTGTTTAAAAGTAGCTTATCCAGCATGTGCTTGCAACTTAAACATAAGTTGGGTATATGTAGTCCTTGCTATACCATTGACTGTATTTGAGAACCAAAGTATTAAAAGGGGGAGCACCCCATTTATATCTGTAGGGGGTATTTTACATTCAAAATGTATGTGTTTTTTTTTCAAAATGAAAAGTATTGGAGACTGAATTGCACTAAGATATAACCTGCAAGCATATAATACAAAAATTGCAAAACTGTCTAGAACGCTAATAAAATTTATGCAGTTATAAAAGATGGCATTACTGCACAGTTTTACGATGATGCAGATTTTTTTACAGTTGTATTGTGGTGCAGAACTGGATTTTCTGTAACTTCAAAAAACAAACAAATCCACAGTTTTAAAGGCAATAATCAGTGAATGTTATTTTCAGGGACTGACATCCTGTCTTTTAAAAAAAAATGGAAAGTAAACCTTACCACAATAAATTTAAAAAAATCTTGTCAGTTATTTTTCTTTGACATTTTGCTGTGCAAAATTGTTTTATATCTTGAGTTACTCAACTAACCACGTGTGATGTTCCTCTGTGCTTTTTCTTTCATTTTCAACTCTGGTTATATCAAAAGAAAGAATAATCAACAATAATAAACTGCAATTTTGGATTCTGCACTCAAGTTTCTTAGTGTATAGTTTAACTGGGCAAAGCCAACCCCAACCCCACCCCCCACTCCCTACCCAAGCAGGACCTTAGAGCAAACCTTCCTTCTAATACAAGAGTTGGAAAGAAAGAATTCAGGGTAAAGTGGAGACTGTAGTGTGCGTTGGTACCCCCTTAGGAATGGGTGATATTTAACAGAGGTCAGAATCTTGACCTTTCCGGGGATTAGTTCGAACTTCTCTGTTTGGGAATAACTAAGGGCATAGAGGTCGGTCCTCTCTTGTCATCGCTCCATAGGAGAGGCAAGACTGAGAGGAGTTTGCTGTCATACTGACCCTTTTTCCATTTTGATCAATTGTTTGATCACTTTTCAAATAAGAGATGGCAGACTGTGGAAGACCAGGTGTTTAGGGGCAAAGTGTCCACTTCACATGAAAGATAAACAGTTTTTGGTGTGACTGGTGATGGGTTCCCCTTTTACTGCCTCTCCCAAATACCATAGGTTTCTTGTTAGAGATCTGAGATTTACTATAGACTTCTGAAGCAAAAACATTTTTTCACCACCTTTGATTTCATTTACCTTAAAAAAAAAAACACAGTTGTGAATGCCATAACTCCAAGCAGATATCTGTCCTAAACTGTATCTGTTGAGTAACAAACTATAGTTGGGGGGTGGGGATGGGGAGGGCGAGAGTGGTGATTTTATGTTATTGAGGGAAGTCCAGAATGGGGGAGCAGAGAGTAATACTTTCACTGGGCAACTATTGGTTTTGATTTATTTAAATGTGCCCAAAGAGCACGTAATCAGACGAACTAGAACATTTTTCCCCCTTCTCCAATCTCATGCTCCTTCCCAGTGAGAGGTCACCTGAACATTGACCTATTTTGAATGACACAAATTCATGTAACTGTTTTCCAAAAGCATTCGATTGGACTCTTTGTAAACTTCCCCCAAAGCCCTAATAGAGAAGAAGACAAAAACAGCACTGTTTGGGAAACACAGGCCCACATGGGTTTTCTGAAAGAGAAGATAATATTGCTACTGCAAATGGAGAGGGCCTTATTTAAAAGATAACAGGTTGTCCTCTCTGACATCTAGTTCTGATCCCTTTATTATCACTACCACCTCCTTTCCTTTACCCTGTCTACACAACTTTATAAGGCAGTTAAGTGTACCCTCTGGCATCTGACCTTTTATCTTACCGCACATTGGATAATAGTGCCAGAATTATAGTCAAGTTAATTGATGCTTATTTCTAGTTAATATACAATCTTAATGGTAAACTTACTTTCATTGGCTAATCATGAAGGGAGTAACTTTTCTTAATGCTTTGAAGGTTTTCTCTCTACCACCCTGTGTTTAGTTTTCATTTAAGGGCTGGGGGGGTTCATGCTGTCCCAAAACAGCCTTTGCAAACACCTCCACAGTTGGGGAATTAATGAATTTATGGAAAACAAATCTTCATGATAGAAAAGTATTCAGGAAGAAGGTATTAGAGTTAATACTTGAAAGCACTTAAGTGTATTAGGGAGAAACACATTCTTAAACATTCTATCCTAAATCTATGTAGCAATTTAATAGAATGAATAGTTTAAAGCAGGGCCTGGCCATGTACTAGGTATATGCTAAATAAGAGGTGATAGAAAAGAGGGATGAGAGGATGATTTTGTTTTCAATGTCTGGCAGGAAAACCAATTTAAAATAAAACCTAGCAAGGAACCTTTTTAGAAACTTTGTCATATAGCATGTAATACATTAATTTTAAAAAAGAGCTGCTTGCTCAGTCCAGTTGATGTGCCTTACAAATAAGTCTTTATCTTTAAAAAAGAAAAAAATCATATTCATAAAAGCATAGCTTTTCCCTTAGGCTGTGTTTGATTCGTTGTGTAAAATAGTGTTAACATTCCTTTCATTCCAACTCCCGAGTGAGCTACCAGAAAGTTTGAGCCATCAGGAGGACCCAACACATACGGAAATTCTTGGCCATGTCTGTTTTCAAAATGTGTCCTTATAATACAATTTACATGAACACTGTGCAGTGAAAAATCATTTATGTACTGGAAAAACAGGAATGAATGGTCTTCGTAGGACAGCCTCTTGACTCAGTCTTCAACAGAGTTTAGCTTCTTTTTAGACAATTTGGCTTGACAGAAGAGAGGAATAACCTTCACATAGTTTAATGATGCCCGGGTCCTGCAAAAGTCCCAGACTCTGCCTATTTACTTACTACAAGGTACAGGATGCCAGTGACTTCCTTCTGCTTTAGGACTCGGGCAGATGGGAAGGTGCCTGTGTTTTTGGGTTTTTGTTTTTTTTTGTTTGTTTGTTTGTTTGTTTTTTCCCCTGGCTACAACTATGAGAAGCATTTTATTTGTTTGTTTGTTTGTTTATTTATTTATTTTTGCAGAGAAATCTTTAAAATCTAAACAAGTTTTCCTTTCTTAAAGAAAGTTTTCCCAAGTGGTATATAGTAGCAAGAATTATGCTATGAAGTAATTCACAACTGTGACTAGGTTTCTCTGGTCAAGACTTCTAATTGAGGGATAGAGAAAGTATCTGAACTACCCCCAAACAAATGATTTTCTTGTTCAGTCCAGGAGTGTGTGTGCTGGTTCGAGACCTCAAAATGAACAGCCCTTCCCTTCTCTTTGGATTTTACCAGTGCTGCATTTCTTCATGGTGAAAACCCATTATGTTATTGACAGAAATAGCCGTGAGTGAAAAATACATGAATGATAACAGTGGCAGATTTTCAGTTTAAGCGTACTCTATCAGACTTTTTTCCTATTAGCCGGCGTTCCTCAGTATTTCCTCCCTCTTTATTAGAGTTCTCTTAATTCAAAACTCATTCTTAATTTTATCTCTCATTTATCTGACATATATTGGGTCTGGACTTCCTGATTTGAATGAAGAAATGGTGCTTATATCAGAAACATCTGTCCAAAAGCCATACCCTCATGGGGTACTTTTCAGACATGTGCCGCCACCCCCAAAAGGAAATAGTCTATATTTATTTCTAAGCTCCTGGTATTAACTTTCTGATCTTGCTACTTCACATGCCTGTTTACTTCTGCATTTCATTTTTTAAAAAGCAAGTCCAATTAAAAAAAAATCATGAGGCTTTTGGTAGACCTAGCCCCACATTTAAAACTTCACTGTTCAAATGCTACTTGAAGTCAATAGAGGGTAAATGGAACCATGTTGTAGCAACTGTCCCAAATGTGACATATTGCCTTCCAATCAACCGTGGCTTGTCCATTCTTAATGTTTCTTATCCAAAAATCTACAGCTCCAGAATCCAGTGGGTAGACTCAGGAAAAGATACCTGGGTGTTTTGAAAGCATTTTTTTAAGCAGACAAATCCATTTTAATAGTCATTTCAACATCAAAATACAGGCATTTTATATATCTTCCTGTTACAACACATCAGGAAATATATTAAAAAGCCTGTACACAGAATAGCATTTTCAATTTTGGCTCTTTTGGAATAAGTAAGATGGAATTATAGGGCACACAACTCCCCTTCAAAAAACAAAACAAAATAAAACTTTTTTTTTTTTTTGGTGGCTAGCCTTAGCTATCATTTAGTTCTATGCCATAAAACAGGAAAGGGTGGTACCAGAGAATAGTTCTGGACTGTTCACATTAAACATAGAATAAAAGTCCATGTTGTGTTGCCGATTTACATGTCTACTGGCTAGAAGCCTTTTTATAACTTACATTCCCTTCCTCTGAAGTGATTGCTTGGCCCTTATGGTCACTTCTGGCTTTTCCCCAAGATCTCAAGTGAACAATTTGGGTCCCATGTCCTCCCCATGGTTAAGAAGCCCAGGAAGGAAACTGTATAGTTTGCTTTCACACTTTGTCCTAGCTCTAAAATCAAAGACACTGGGCCCTTTGCAGAGAAATATGGGGGGCTATAGGGAGGATGGAGGCTGTGAGTTCCAGACAGGGGAATTACACTAGGTCTTGATGAGGTTGGAGGCTGTAGGCCGCAGAGGGATAACCTGGGCTTTGGAGAAGTTGGAGGCCGTGGACTGCGGGGATGCACAGAATTCTAGGGAGGTTTGAGAAAACTGAAATTCCAAAGGAGGCACTTAGGTTTGAGTTGGAGCAGCATTCTCTTAAGACACATTCTGACCCCCATTGCTGTTCGACTTTAGATTAAAACCTCCCAAAGTCAGAGATCAAGCATCCCCAGAAAATGGGAATTCACTGGAAGAATCACTCCACCCAAGCAGTTGAACAAACCCAGCTCTGTGCAGTGTTTCTTTCCAGCGGGGGTAGAAGATGGGGTGAGACAATCCCAGTCTCCCAGCCTGTCTCATGATTGTTGTGGCATAAAGAATTACAGTCCTGCAAAAATGTGTGAGCATCCCTACCCTTTAGAGAGAAACAAAACCCAACCCAATAGATCAAATTGCTATGCACGGAGGCGGAGCAGAGATCAGGGAGCAGGGCCCTGGCTCTGGGTCTGATGTGGTCTGTGCTCAGTCGGGAGCAAGGGCTTCCAAGTGAGGGAGGAAGGGAGAAGAGAAGAGGGAAGGGGAAAGAAGGAAAGGGACTCAAAGGCTGGGAAGCGAGCTTCCGGAGATCCCAGCTAGCAACGACCTCCGTTTGTAGCCTTGCTTCCACCTGCTTTTTTGACAGGATCTGGCCATACTATTCACAGCTACCAGTTATTGACAAACATCTTGAAGCCTCAACTTTTAAAATGTCCTTGAGTCAGACAGACAGATACACACACACACACACACACACACACAAACACACACACACTCCTACCTTTGTTACAAAATTCTAGGGAGCGACCTTTTTCTCACATAATTGGAAGAGACCACCCCAAA